GTTTATGTGAGTATCGTTTGCTTCATTTTATTGTTGCAAACAGCGTAAATTCCTTGTTTTTCTTCTTTTAATGTTTGAACTTTATGTGTGGCAACAAGATTTGATTGATAGAATTGTGTTTGTGACAGCCATGTAGAATGGCTTGCTTATTTTGTATCAATTATTTCGCATCGCTGACAAGTGTAATAAAATAAAAGTGTAGGAATACAGTCCATTTGTTGATTGATTATTGTTTGTGAAACGTATTAAAGTTTAAGAACACTATCTGTTTTTGACGGTTCTTTTAAGTCTAACAAAAAGACGGGTCAATCCGTTTTCAATGAGATATTTCAAGTGACAATATTACGGGAGAAACCGGTAAGGAGCTTGCATAAAAGAACGAGAAAATCCAGGTCAAACCGTTAAAGGGTTCAGTATTTTACACTTAAAACAGTTGGACATATTTGAAAGAAGATAAGTGACATTTACGTTTTACTAACAGTTAGCTTAATATTGATTTTTTTTAATGTCTCATTCTGTCACATACTTGGTCAGTCTAGAAGATTAGTAAACAGCAGGTAGATTTTGTGTCAAACGGCATAGGTTAAAATGAGAAGTAAGATCTTAATCAGAAAGACTGAATGTTGTACCGCTGCTGCTTGTCTAGAGAAAGACCTGCTGATTAGAACCAACCTGAAAGACCTGTTGTAGGCACGGATGGCAAGTGTTGAAAGTTAGTCAGGCTCTGTTTGATGCAGTTAGTGTCGTAGCTTCATGTAGAGTTCCAGAAATTGTAACCCAGTTAATATACTTTAAGGTTCAAATAAGCCATTAAAGCATTAGAGGTGATAAGTGTTGTTTTGTATTATTTTAAGTCTCAAGTCTACTAAGTCTGTTTTGCTAAGTCTCAGTAGGTGCAAAGATTAAGTTTTACTTGAAATTTTACATTTTTGTATTTTATCTTGTGATCACAGTGAGTATTAATGAAAGGCAATAACTCACTTTAACATGTAGAAATAATTTTTAAGGGTAAGCAGTTAATTATAAATAATTCAATTAGGTAGTTTAACCTTAGTCATTATGTATACACGGCCACTATTAAATTTTTTTAACAATATTTGTTAAAAAAAAGCCCTATTAAAATCAAACTCTAATAAAACTTCACAGTTTAAAATACATGTAATTTATGACATTAGGATAATTACACATTAATAAAAGCTAATGTTTTGTAACAACAACACTCAAATATTTATCAGACATTTTAATTTAAACATTCCTTCCTAAACATTTTGGCTAGTTTATATCAAATTCCTTCTCTTTAAGCATCTTTTCTAACAATTAAAGATTTGCCTCAATATGCAAACCAGTGCTCTTGCTAGTTTCTGTGTGCTTTATCTCCTAACTTGTCAACCTGTCCACAATGTATCTATGAAGGTTCACTTGATCTGGTAAAAGTTAAATAGTCTAACCTCCCCCCCCCAAAAAAAAAGACGTGAAGCACATTTTCACTATGTCTGAAAGTATTTACAATATCAAACAAAGGTTTAAATAAGCCTCTTATTTATAAGAACTAAGAACATAAAGGCATGTTCTGATGCTAACAAAATCAATTACAGCTCACGGTGACGTAATTAAACAAGAACAATCTAATTCAAACTAAAAATGTGGACTAGTGGTTAAAGATTATACAATTTAATTTTAATTTAATCTGGCTCAGTTAAAATCATATGAGGAAACAGAAGTGGGAAATTATAGTAAAGGCTCAAATCATAAACAATTGGGTAATTTATATAATAATAACTGCACATATCTTTGAAGAATAATTTTCTTTATGTATTCAGTTTCTTTCTTCAACACGCTTTTCATTTTAGAATTCTTGGATTTAATTAAGGATTTCTGTCATTCTAAAAAACACTAAATGCACTTAGAATTTATAAAAAAAGCAGCTAATTTTACTTCTTTAGTAATATGAACATTCAGAAAAAATATGAAATATATATGGTAAAGGGCTGATAACAGAGCTGATGTGGCAAAATTTTTAGAATTTAGTTACACACTAAACAACAAAATCTGGAAATGGCAAAACTTTTAGAATTTAGAGCAGGCTTTGGAAGCAGAATTTATAAAGGCATTAGGCAGCAGAATTTAGGAGTGGTGTCTTTAATTATGGCAAAGCACACTAGGGCTATCTGCCTAAGGGGAGGGATGCCTTCGTGGAGGACTTTCTAAGGGAAACTGGCTCGTATACACATGGGGAAAACCATGAAAACGCCCATGCAGCCAGCCCGTTCGCGGGATTCGAACCTCGGACCGAACTACCAGTGTTCAGCGACTTTACCGCTCGGCCGCTGGTGGGCGCAGAATTTAGGATTCCATAGAGATTGCATCAGGTGGGAAAATGCCTAGTGCTATGCATGTGATGCATTAAGACATATTAGATGAATCTTTTAAATTGTAAGTTTTCAATTTATTTATTAATAAAAAATCCCTAACTATAATGCCTACCCATGTGATAAGATAAGAAGCATTTTTGCTTGTGTCTAGTGAAAAGTAGAGAAAATAAATATACATGTTAAGATTCTAGTATCAGAAGTAAAACATTCAAATATTATGTTTTCATCGTTCTTCCAGACATTCTCCAAAAAGTAAGAAATTCATTGCAAACTTTCTGTAAAATACATCCATTACGTATTGATACCATGGAGACATTTTTCCTTTTGTCACATATTTCTCGAATCTTCTCAAATCGAATCTTCTAGAAAACTTGCCTTCAAATCCTTCTAAACTTTCCAAGCTGCAATGTCTAAAATCCTAAAGAAAAATTATCCCTACCAATTCTGTTAACAGCAAAAAGCCACAAATATTTTGGGAAAAAAGGGAGGGAAAAAGTGTAAAATTAATTTTATAGAGAAAACTGAAGCATATTCTGAGAATTTTGAATATTCTGAGATAATTACAAGGGAAAAACTCTTATTACGAAAAAATTAAAATAAAGGCATTTTTAATTAATTACATAGCTAATTTTGCTTTTTGCTAAGAGCTTTTTGTGCTTTATAGCATTATGCCTTATTTATTTTTCAGATTAAAAATATTGTATAACAAGTTGTCAAAATGAAACTTTATAATATGACAGCGAAAAATAAAAATGTTTTACGTTAATGTTATTTTTTAAATATAATTTCAATAATTACCAGTATTTTAATGAAATTTATTTAATTTTAATGAAATTAATTTTACGATGTTTTAAAAAAAATCGAAAAATTCTCAGATTTCGGAATTAAAAATTTTCTATAGAAACTGATCTTAAAATCGCCAAATTTAGGACCGTTTAATAAAAGAATTTGCATCCCCAAAAGTGAAAAGCTGTTTAAGAGCTCTTTATTAGAAAAAATTAATTTTGAAATGCTTATGTTTCACTTCTTGCTTAGAAAATCTAGTATCCCATCATTAATATTAGAAATAGAAACAAATTATAAGACATGAGCCCATTCAAAAGATAACCATATATATATCAGTGGATTACTGAAAATATTCCTCCAAAATGCTAATTCACACTCAAAATGGCAGTCGTAAAAACAGATAGAAATTTCAGATGATTAAAATTAAGGACCTTCTGCCGATTTTGGCCAAAATTAAGGACTTTTAAGGGCCAAAAACCGATTCCAAAAAATCTAAGGACTTTTAAGGTCCATACGAATCCTGAGTGAACTCTGCAAAGCTCACTGGAATAAAATAGAGGCTGAATCTACATTGAAGAAGATAACATGGAAATTCATTTCTCCATCAGCTCCTTTGGGTCAATGGTGAAAGCAATTGATCGGCATGGTCAAACAGATTTTGTGCAGAGTATTAGGTCAAGCTTTCCTTCATTATAAAGAACCGAATACAGTGTTGTGGAATACTGAAAGTCTAATATTCATGACCTTTGACATACTTGCCTGAAGATGTTAATGCCTTAATTGCTCTTTCTCCTTTGATTTTCTGATAGGAGAAAAAAGGATGTGGAGCACCAGATACTGATAGCATTTGATGCTTCTTATATGCATAAAAGACTATATTTGCACAGGATACGTGGAAATCTACGAAAAAGATTTCGACTATCTTGGACATATAAAACACAAATTTTTCTTAAAAGGTTTACAAACCAATTTTTGTTGAAAATATAGTACTCATCAGTTCTGATAACCTGAAGTGTCATTGTAAAATTAAAAACAAAATCTGGCCTCATCATAAAACCTGTATAACATGTTTATCCTTTAGAATGTTCAGATGATCCTGAAGGTCTTGTTTTGAGATGGACTAAAATTGATGACTCCAAAGGCTATGCTCCCCTAGAAGGACAATCAGAATCCTCACCTCAAGTCACACAGTCACTAAGTGGATGAAATGTGAAACCTGTACAAAGACTTCAATTGTGATATGTGCGACAGTAGGTTGAGTTCCTCCAGAACTCAAGGTGGGAGGAAGCTGTTGCTAAGTCAGCTTCTTGGCAGTTTCCATTCCTTACGAGCTGAAGACAAACAAACTAGAAAGACAGTAGAGGCAATAACCAACAAAAGCAGAAATGAGCACTTCTTACTGTATTTTGTGCATTCAATCCATAATGAACCTGTACGCAATAAGAATCAAGACTCAGTGCTGCAAGAAACAAGTGTATGAAATCCATTCCAATTTCGGTGTTCATAACTCTCTGAAGCACTTGGAATATTTCAGCAAGTTAACAAACAAATTTTATTTTAGTTCCTTTTTTACTGATTTGAAAGCAGTAAATATTTTTTAGAAATGAAAAAGCAAAGAATGTGCTTTGGCATCATCCACTGCACATATTTTTTTAATTAATAACCCATTGTCAAATATTACCAGAAAACATGATCTATAAACAAGTTTAAATAATCCAGTTATACAGAACGTTTATGAAAAAAGGGATGCATAGATTAAGCATATGATAAGAAAGGAGAAAAAACATACAACTTTCTTATCAATGCATAATTCACTCTTTTTGAAGGATATATCACAAAAAAGAGTTAAAATAAATAAACATTTACTATAATAACAGAATGTAAAAAATATTACCTGCTGCAGGTGAAATTTCAGCACTCGGCTCTTGTTCTTCATTTGGCATAGTATAATCAACAGATGAGAATGATGTTAAAGGTGGTCGTGACGATGGCTCATTGGAAACAGGTTCAATAATCTCTACGTAATTTTGAGGTATATAACCTTCCTCTCCTCGGTAATTTCTAGCCTAATATGATACGAAATACGAACATTTTAATTAAAATTTTTATTTTAAAGTAATACAATAAGATATCTGCTGCTACTGGCAACAACAACAATAGTGTTCATATAATTGAGATGTTTAAACAATAATGCACTTACTAAAGCTTTCTATAGATAACAAAAAATGTCAAAAGATATAAAATAATAAATTATAAAACACAAAGTTTTTGTCCATAAATACTGTATACTAAAAACCAGATTACAGAGATATGCAATTATTCAAGCAAGTTATACAGATGTGATTACATACTGTTGGATGTATATTTAATATTTGCATTTTTTTTTTTTTTTTTTTTTTTTTTTTTTTGTATGTTTTATTTTCTCACTGTTTAATTTTATGTTGTGATTTACAATAATCTTGTGACTGGCAACATGCTTTATTTTACTATTAAGTTTGTGTGAATGGCAACAGTTGTTCATGTTTATGTTTCAGTAGAATACCATTCTTAGCTGCACTGCACTGCAGGCAATTTTTCTCTTAAATATTTCATGTTTTATAATATCAATAAAGTTTTTATACAAAGCTGATGCTTTTTAGTTCAAGGCAACTACATACTATGTATAAAAAAATATATGCAAAATTTTCAGTACTGCTAACAATGATCCTTTTGATAAACATTCTTTGCTATCTTTGCAAAATGAAAAATACAATTTACGAAACTTAGTGATTTAAAAGCTTTACAAACAATAACAACTGAGCAAAATTTTAAAAAATAAACATGAATCTTTCTTTTACAAAAGAAGTATTATGTAAGGAAAGTCAGATACATCAAAAACTTCCTTTTTATAAAAGTATTATTTGCTGTAACCGATAACATTCATGGCAATGTTCAATGCAATAAACGAAGTAGATGAAATCTACCTCGCAACAGCACTTCTTTTTATTGACATTATTAATTCTTTTAATGAATTTTTAGGAACAACTATATTAAACAAAAAATAATTAATGGAATAATGGAACATCATAAAAAATTATGCATATAACAATTTCACAGATTTTTTTTTTTTTTTTTTTACTTATTTTGTTAAATAGTAGCTTTTTATAGTTATGAGAGAACTGATGGCAATATACGCTCAGTTCCAAAAGTTAAGCATGAAGAAGTAAAATGCAAAAAAATCAACAAATACTGCTTTGATTGACATAACATTCGGCAGGAAAGTAGCATATCTATTTATGCATAAAACAAAACCAATAATTATATACAGAAATGAAAACAATATTAAATTTTTGTAAGTTATCAGATAATGACATACTGGAGATTTAAACAGAATTATGTATAAAGTGAAAATAAACAGCATAAAATGAAAAAAGAAAAAAAAAAAAGTACATTAATACAGTATGTGATCCCTCCCCTCATCTGTACACAAAGTTTACATTTTGTGACCATGCTTTCAATTAGGTGGTCAACTACTGCAGAATTAAGCAATTGCCATTCTTTTTGCAGAGCAGTTTCCAGCTCAATAAGAGTGGCTGGAGGTGGGAAACGTGAAGATACATGTTCCCAGCAGCACTGTAATCATGCCCTTCTTACACGTGTGGAGGTCACTCTGTGATTCCGCTTGGCTACGATAGCAATATATATCAAACTTCTGTGGCGGTTGTAACCCTTGGGCAACCAGCTACGGGTCTTCGGACAACTGTCTGTGTGGTTTGAAATTGTTTCCATAAACGTGAAATTACAGAATGATGAACGGAGAAGAAAAGAGCAACATCTGTGATCGACTGTCCTGCTTCAATGCACCCCACAGCACACCAGCACTCAGACTCTTCCATTCATATTCTGGAAGTCATAGAAACATTTATGTCTTGAAAATAAATTGTACAAAAGTTTTAAACACCTTCTATCAGCACTTACAATCAACTTCTGTAACCCTTCATAAAGCTGGCTTCTTACAAGACTGTCTTTTTTGCATATTTTGTGACATGAAAGTGCGATTGGCTGTTACCTAACATATTTGCATACTTCCGTCTATCTCTGCAGCGAATTGCATCCTCTTCAATTCTGATTGGCTTCCAGAAATTAGCATTTTTCTCTCCGTGCTTAACTTACTTTTGGAAATAAGTGCATATAGTTAATACATTTATATTTCACAGATAGGCACAAATAAAAAATCTATTCAACAAATATTTTTGAACTGTTCAATGTGATTTAATATGCATGAAATAAGATAAAGCATGTCTAGGAAAACAAAATCAGTTCGAGGCTAGATGAATGAAAGAAATCAGATGAACAAAGCCTCTCTATTTTGAAAGTACATCTCTTGATATATTATTCCCTACTCATGGATTGATATATTTCTTGCACCAGAGAATATTTATGTACTCTCATCATATGCTTCAGGTGCCATTTTATCAAAAACTGCAGCTAATGTTTGCTGAAGTTCTAAAGTGTTAGCTAGGAAATGCCCGTCAGAAAACTCATTTAATTTTGAAAAGATAATAATAATACATACATTGCCATCTATAAAACCATGCGTCATCATCTATGAGCATTAATTTATACCTATTTTATCAACTATCGAAAAATATGTGCCAGATAAATGCAATACATACTTACCAAGGGGAAAAACAGATGTTTTGTCTTTTTTTGATATGTTATGCAAACCCAGTTTATAAACAGGGATAAAACCCAGTTTGCCCATTGAATGCCTGAGAGCATATGACAATCCATGGAATGATATCTTGTGCAAAGACCAATGTGCTTTAAAAGAGACATGGTCCACACCCCTTAGAGTTTATGTGCCTTCAATGCAAAAAGAGCTGACCAACAAATTTCTGAAAACAAATCACTTAACCCATAAATTCTGAACCGACGATTTCTGCGAATCGCCTGATCCATGATGAGCAAGATCATCAGTTGACACTGGCTTCCTTCCCTGGCCGCCTGCATCATGAACATCTGTGCGTCCAGCTTCAAAGTCCTTGCACCATTTCCACACTTTGCTGTCACTCATGAACGTTTCTCTGTACACTTTACTCATTCGTCTATGAATTTTAGCTGCATTGCTTCCTTCACCATGCAGAAATCAAATGACAGAACGCAATTCACACTTGGCAGGAAAGTCTATTTTTCGAAGCATGTTTATGTCCTCCCTATGTACTCAGAAATAACAACTGTGAATTGACACGTTCCCCAGGCCAACTAGAGATGCTGCGGAAGACGTCTGCACACAGACCTAGTGGATTTCCCCTGAAGCTTTCCTTTAGTGACCAATCGAACCTTGGAAAAAAAAAAAAAGCCCTCATACATATTCTGAAATACTGAAGAAACTGAGAACAGGCAATCAAAAAAAGCAGATGAGGGCTTGTGTCTAACAAAGAAACTTCATGACAATCACTGGCTTCAGCATCCACAGAATAACCTGACTTTTGGTAGAAAGTTTACTAGCATCCAGCTTAAAGCCTCAACTTCAGTGACTACAACATTTCCATACAGAAGTTTGAGGTATACAGGTAGATATATTTTTCTGAGAAAAGAGCTCTAGAAAACAGACTGCATTTCCCAAAGATCTGGCAGCGGAAACATACGAGAAAAACTTTGTTTCCAGATCCTTACGTTACAATATATGTCTATATGCCCATAGAATAGATGTCCACTCCATGTAGTTTAAAAAGTTTTGTTCGTTCAATTTAACTTCTGTTCCAGTTACTTCTTTCTAGATGTGTCTAGAGCTGTGTTGCTTAAAATAATTTAATTTCGAATTTCTCCCATTTGTGTACAAATGCCAAAAACACATTTATCACCTATTCAAAAGCATGCATGTGTGTGATAAAATAATTTCAGAAGCTCATGAAGAGATAAATACAAAATTAGAATAATATTTACCATAACCCAACCATCTCCATCACCTTCACCAATCAGCTCCAGCTCTTCTTGCTCAACAAAACTTAGTTCATCACTATTTGCAGCCTACAAAAGTAATACGCCAGTTTAAATTAAATGCCATAATTACAAAGATTAAATTTTTTTAAATGTTAAAATGTTTAAGTTCTTCCAATTTTACAGATTTTGACTAGTATCAGACTGATATATACAGAGCTTCTAAAGCAGTGTTATGCCCAAGTTAAAAAAAAGAAATTGTAAAGAATATTACAAAGTTAACATTACAGACACTATACTGGCAATGAAGAAATAAATCTATACTTTACAAAACATTTAAGTACAGATTTACTAGGAAATCAATAACTTCGTATGATGAATCTACTTAGCAAAGTTGAGATCAAACTTTTTAATTAAATTAATTAACAATTTAATTTTGATAAATACTCTTAATTTAGTTAATTAAACTTTAAATTTGTATCAAAACTTTCAATGTTTTTAGACATAAGTTAGGGATAACACTGCAGCTTAGTACATATTAACAAATATACAAGTTATATTCTTTTGATTAGACATCACATTGACAGAAAAATTATAGCCAGAGAGAAAGGTGCCAGGGCAGCTCTGATTTTGCTAGCACACTACAGAGCTAATGTGTGCCTATACCAGATTTTTGCACAAATACTAAATGAGACAACTACAGCAAATTTTCTGACATCACATAAATAATTATATAACTCTAATAGTAGTAACAAGAATTTGCTACATTACACTAAATGCTGTCACTTAAAACAGTTATACAAAATAAAATTATGTATAGTATAATATTAACATATTTTTCAAATTTTTCTCATCAATAATTTAATTTCTCATTATTTTCCACTTCCATCTGCAGGAACACAGGTGCTATATAATTTTGTCCTGTTTACGTTAAATACTCCGTATTATAACATGACATAATTACATACCAGTCCATGAAATTTCAATATCACCATTTTAGTACTGAATGCTTATTCAGAATGGATTTCTGACAGTCTGGAAATTTATTGAAGGAATAAAAAATTCAATGACGACTTTGAATTTGCATAGAGAATACAACCATTGAAAATACTGAAAAATATATTAAGCAAAAATATATGAAATTCTAAAAATTGTAACAGATTTCCAGGACTAGCAGTAGCTACACAATAAAGGAACACATGTGAGGAACTGCAAAGAATTTTCTCATGAACACGAGTACCTGTTAAGAATTGTACTTTGCAAAACATTTAACTGATTATAAAAACTGATTTCTCCCCCCACTACACACACACAGTGTAATTTAATGGAATTATTTTCTTTTATATTGCATGTAATTACTTTACTCTATCACTTGTTGTAATAATAGTCCAATTTGAAAACAACTTTCAAACAGCTTTTGCTTAAAACATATAGATATGCTTTTAAAATAGACTAAATGTTAGCTACAAAAGAAACTATTTAATTGGCAAGATGGCAGGGTCAGAACGTCCCTTTTTCATTTACAGATAGTATTCACTCCAATTATCCAGATTTTAGCTACTTAAATCACTTGTGCTTTATCTACACTGTATAAAATGAAACTTATTTTAATTGTTTATTTACCAATTAAATTTGAATTTAAAAACATTAATGTAATGTCATTCAAATACTTTACACAAACAGAAAAAATTAGCTTAATTTTAGCTGAATTTCATTGCTTCACAAAAAGTTAAAATTTTCTTCACTTAATTTTAACACAGTGAAACCAGAAAACAAAATTATTTCCCAAGTTTTAAGGTTTAGAAAACATTTAGTAAAATACTTCCATATTGAAGACACAATCATTTATTAGCAAAAATCTGCATGATCAATTATTTGGCTCTGTAGGCACCTTTTCTCTCGGCATACAGTGGCGTAGCGAGGGGAGGGCAAGGGGGTGCATAATGCCCCGGGCGCCCCTGGTCTCCGAACAAGATTTTCCGGAAAATTTCAGTTTTTATTTTGATCGATTTCTGGAAAATATATTTTAAATTAATAACTATTGTAATATAATTAATTATTTTCTTGATTTGTCTGATAAAATGTGTAATAAAATGTTTGCAGTACATCAACCAAAACGTTCTTTCTTTCTGACCACTATATTTCTCCAAATTAGAGATATATTTGTATTTTTTTAAACGAAATGCACGTATATCTCCCGCTTTTTATTTTAAAAAGGTAACACGACCTTGTCCCGAATTTCTCAAACATATCCAGTTTCCAAAATCCGATTCCATAATCTGGAAATGACATTTTAGGAAAATCCTAACGCTTCCGCTACAATGAATTGCGTTTGACTCTCCTGTAAACGACTGATGGCCTTCCTGGCTACCGATTCAACTAAGCCATCTTGCTGAGACATCGTATATTTACTGCTACGAAGCATTCAACGCATGTCAATTGTTTTTAATCTCCTATTACAAAAGGAATACTGCAGGTCACTCCTTACTCCTTATCTAAAACGCATAGTTTTCGACGTCACAGACTAAATTTGCATATTCCCAAACTTTGTAAATGTTATAATTTTCCTTTATAATCTCTTCTATTTCCTTTTGTTCAAAAAGGTTATTGATTATATGGTTATTTCATACCGAACCACAATATCCCCTAATTGTTTTGAGCAGTGAATGTGACTGCATGATGTCACTCCGCAGTAGAAAAGAAACGGAACCTAAAACTCCACTACAGATCTATAGAGAAAATGTTTTTCCAAACCTAAGAGTCTAATTTCAAATACTACTTACTATTTCATTATCAAATGCTAACTACGAACGCTCGTTCAGCAAATTAAAATAAATTTTCATATATTTACAATCAACGATGGACAAGATCCCTAAGTCATCTAAGCACTTTTAAGTGTGGCAAGAAAATTTGAAAGGATCGACTTTGATGAAGTAAATGATAAATTTGCTTCATCCAAGGTAAGAAAAATATATACATAGTAATTAATTGTATTTCATGTGTTATATTATTATTAATAAATATAAGTGCCCGATCAAGTCGAGATGCACGTGATTGAAGCAAGACGAGGGCAGATTAAAAAAAAAATTTAAGTTGGCTGGTGGTGTGTCTGACAATTTTTTATCTTTGGCACTCCAAGCACAAATGTGTCCACTTGGCTATGTCCTTTTGCATGCTAGGCCATGCGAAACATTGCTGTATCAGATTCCTCGAAGCCTTGATGCCAGGATGTGACAGACGATGTAATTGACTAAAAATGGCATGGGGAAACCCGGAGGAAATAAGGGTCGAAATCTAATCCTGAACATCACAAAAGTGATTTCCAGATGACAGCTGATAGGCAAGTTGAGATTGATGGAAATTGCTTTTCAAGAGGGTTTGTAGTCTGAATCCTGGTGTTGTTCCCCTCACGGGTTTATCGGGCGGACCCAGCTCGTCTTCATACGACCAGGTGTCTGTAAATATTCCTGCCAACATCAATAAAGGAGATCTACTGAAATTCCCTAGAAGTCTGGTGTTCATTTGAACGGAGACTTTTCCGAACGCCTTGACCGTAGGTAGGGTTTGTGATCTGTGAGACCTGAAAACCCATCCCTATAGCAATGTCGAAAATATTACAGCACTAATTCCTCACAATCACATCGTAAGTGCTGTACCTGGTTCAGGGTCATAGCAATTTAGTTAAAAAAACAGGCAACTATAAGCACTTTTCAAGCATTTTTACGAAAAAATAGACCGCGCCCTAATTATATAAACATGCAGAACCTTAAAAATTAGACTTGTAATTTAAATATGAAAATGCCGTATTATAAGAGAGATAAGCATTACATTTAGATAACAGGAAAAAATTTTTTTTAATTTTTAAATTTAATAACAGTTCATTTCAGAAAAGTTATAATGAGAGGAAAAAAAACTTAGCAGAACTGAACTATTAAAAAAATTAATGATGAATTTCGTTCAATAGCGCAAAATAATAATAGGCATATTATGTATTTGCTGGAACTAATAATAAAAAATTTTGTTTCCATCATTGACATTAAATAATTTAAATCTAATTCTGAACATTTCTAAATTTTCATTCTAATCAGTTTTCTTTACAGATATGCAAGCAAGTATTAAGTACAAGAGGAACATTTGAAATCAGAAGATGAAATTTCTTCAGCAGTCATCCTTTTTAACAGTAAAAGCTTAACTAACCCGCATACTTGAAATTGGCAACATTTGGACAATCGAGATACTGAAAAAGAAAAACGGCCGGGGGGGGGAGACGAGCCGCTCTTAAATATTTTACTAATAAATGCTTTTGACATTTAATATGGCATCATAGAAAAAAACCAATGGAACGAAAAAATATTCGGTTAGCACGCACAAGTAAAACTCTTTTACGGTTATAAACAAATCTGACCGAAATCAAAATTACTTCTCTCAACAAATCGCAAAATTATTGCACAATACGTGCGCTGTAATTTCCTCGTATATACCATCGGAATCATCAGCTGTCAGTTTGGGAATAAAGACTACTATTGGGGTTTTTTCATTCTATTTTCACAGACGGTGTTAACTTCCGGCCTTCATCATCTTCGCTTGGGTTGATAGACCGCAGACTTTAGTTTTATTCATCCAGATTTGAAGTGACAAAAAAAACACTATTTTGCGTTATTTTAATTCCCTTTATTTAAGCGATTTCCAAATTTTTCTTGCCACTATTGTGCTAAAATTTTTGCATGTTAGATCAGCTATTCATCAATATTTTAAAGAATTCTCCATTTTTTTTTTTTTTTTTAGACCAATTGGAGAAGGCCTCATATCCCCACGTATCCGTGCAAAAACTGCTTGAAACTGTGCATTCAAACGTGTTTAAGATTTATAGTCCCCGCTCAGTGGATTTCTAATATTTCGCCTATTTACAGCCTCGGATTCTGGTCCCTACACCAATGCGCTATGCTCCTTAACGCCGGGACAATTCTCCCCGCAACCAAATACACTGCAGATTCCCATCCACAACTACAACTTGTTTCCTTCGTTCTTTTCGCCAACTTGGGATCATATCCAAGAATCGAACTTTCGTCTTATGGTTGTTTACCGCTGTA